ATAGTTTGCCAATCACTTTGTCAACTACTGTTCAGTACCTTCCATATGGCATTAACTTTAGTAGGTCTTGGAAATAAAGCAGCTAATAAGTAAACATACCCTTGCTCTCATGAAGCTTATTTTTAATAGATAAGACAGTTAATGTTGTAAAATACCAAAAGTGTTATAATAGAGAAAATGCAAAATGTGGTGGATACATCTAGCAAGCAGGAAACCTAAGTTATTTTAGGATTTAGGGGACAGTAAGGAAAACTATGTTATGACAAATGCTATGTGAATCTCCTCTTCTAGATTTAGGGCTATCACAAGAAGGGAAAGTGCCTGAGTCAGCTTCGGGAAGTCAGGGAAGGCTTCTCATTGGTGGAAACACTTGAGCTGACTCGGGTGGTGAAAATGTAGATGACTGGTAGTGTGGCAAGGAAAGTATTCCTGGCAGATGGAATGGTTTGTAGGATGTCACACAATACGTCAAAGCATTTCACAGTCGCTGGGTTTCAGTAGTTCTGTATCTTTGTGGAGCAAATGGGAACGAACAGTCGCACATGTGGGAAGAGCGAGAGGAGCCTAGACTCATCTGCACATCTGAAGGAATTGCTCTACCAAGCAGTTAAGACTTGATCCTGAAGGCAATTGGATGTCACTAAAGTGATTCAAACAGAGAGAAAATGATGATCACATTTTTAATTTAATTTTTATTTATTTAAAAAAATATTTATGTTTCAGAGGGAAAGAGAGAGCACGAGAGCAAGTGAAGGAGGGAAGGGCTGAGAGAAGGGGACAGAGGATCCAAAGCAGGCTCTACGTTGACAGCAGACAGCCCCATGCAAGACTCAAACTCACAAACCGCAAGATCTTTCCAGGCACTCAACCGACTGAGCCACCCAGGCTCCCCGATCATGTTTTTATTTTTAAAGATCATTCTTTTATCTCTGTGGAAAATAAACTGATGGGGGCAAGAGTGGAGAGAGTGAGACTAACAGTTGCACAGGCACAAAATAATGAGAAGCTGAACCAAGGTAGTTGAAGCAGAAATGGAGAGAAAGAGTCAGATAGAAAAGATAGAAGATCAACCCTAGCTAGCAACTCAGTGGAGGAGTTAATGGGAGAGGGATTAAGTGGGTGCTTGGGTATATGGTAATGCCAGTCAGGGATTATGGGAGGAGAGGAGATATCAAGTTGGATTTCTTCCAACATGGAAATATACTGTGTTTATAACATCAAACATTAGCATCACTTCAAGAAACCTCAAAAATTCTTACATGCACTTTTCTTCAGGCAGGTACAGTGATGGTATTCACTTGTGAGACAGACCAGGTATTTGGATTCTCAGGATTTCATTGCTAAGTAGTGAGAAGAATTCAAGTCAGATCTTCTGTCTTTTGGTCTGGCATTCTGAGGGAAGTTAGCTGTTCTTAACTGATTGTCAGAGTTTGATAATATGTTTAAGAGCTATAGGGGACAACTTTCATAAATGGTTAAGTTGAAGCAAGAATATGGAATACTGTTATAATGTGCATAATGATACAAGGCTTCTGACTAGAGAACAACCAAATCCTTCAGAAAAAAGTAGCTGTCCTAGTAAAAGATGCTGTTTCTTGTGTTCTAGTGATTGGTCTTTAGTGCCCTCTGTTGACTGTTTAGTCTAAAACAGTGTCTTGATTTTAGAAGACCATGTTCCTTGCAGTGTTATTTACCGAAATAGGAAGAATTAGAGGGTTTAAAATTAAGGTAAATGGTCATAAGAACCAATGGGAACTTAAAAAAAAATCTACATGGGTTCTCAAAGTTGGGTAGAAGTCTTAAGAAATAACCGTTATTACATTTTGTTTGCTATAACATGGGTATGATTGTATGGGCTAGAGTGTTCAGGAAACAGACTTTTCTGATGATGAGTAGCCTAAATCAAGCTGGTTTTTAAGCATTTTTAATGCAGCGAAGCCTCAAGAACAGCAGTTGCCCTAGTAGGCAGGAGCAGCTGCTGTCTTTCCATAGGGTGGTGCTGCATGTGATGGCCCATGAAAGGAAATGACTGTTACTCATTAAAGCAACTTCATTCAGCTACCTGGGAAATCACACAGTTAGAAAAGTCATCACAGAAAATGAAATAGTGGTTTTCCATAATGGGGCATCTTCAGAAATGGATGATTTGTCTTTTTTTTTTTTTTTTTTTTTTAAATGACAAAGATGCTGCCATTGGGTTCTCTTCTCCAGGAAAAGCGGTGGTAGATTGGACTTAGTGTTAAGAATAACTAGAGATCGAAGTCTGAATAAATTTTCGTAAAGAAGCACACCTAGTACTAGCTTGAGGTCTAAAGAAGACTGCACTTTGTATAAATGAATGCTCACCATGACTGTTCTATAATAAGGGAAATGTATTAATCGTTCTATTTCTGTTATTTCCCAGTTAATCTTTCTCTGAAATGTTTCTGATTATCACTTCAGCTGGTTTGGTTACATTTTGAAAACCTGTTCACCCAGTTAAGGTTAAAAATAGTACTTTCTGGTTTGGCGTTCTATGAAACTGCAAGAGATTGCTTGCACTAACCTAGTGAAATCATTTATTTGCTTTTGGTGTATTGCTTTTGGTGTGTTCTACTGTTGCAGTTTTCCCTAAGAAAGTTTAGAAATTATTAATATGAAGTAATGCTAGCTGCTTTCTGTGCATTTCATGAAAGGAATATGCTATTATGTAGTTTCCCTTCCCCCCTAATAAAAAAGCCTTTCATCATAAACTGACATCCTAAATGAAGGACATAATTGTACAGCTTATTTATTAGTGTGTCAGACTTAAAATGTAATGGTTTCATATTTCAGAATGAAAAGTGTGTTGTGATTCATGGTTGCCGGTGACAAAATAGACAGCTCTTTTATATCTGCACTGATTGCCTGCTGATATACCACTGTACTTTTTTTTTTCTTGTTCTTTTCTCTTCTCTTCCTATGCAATAGCTCCCTCTACTTGAAAATATTGGTGTAATTATAGTTTAGCACTGTGTACTTTATTAGTGAGTATTCGTGACTAATTTTACTTTCAATTCTCTTTGTAAATTTGAGGTGTTATATATATTAGGGTATGTTAGCAATTTATCAAGAATCTCTTGACCTTGGAGCAGAAAAGCAAGGTTAAGGAGAGAAACAACAGTTACGTTTGAAGGCATTTTTCAAGGAATTAGCTACATGGCTTTTGCTGATTTAAATATGACATATTTGGTTAAAATTCTGTATAGTACTTGAAAATGAACCTTGACGTCCAGAGCACAGAGGTATAGAAAACTGAATCAGAAACTTCTAAAGAACCATCAGCCATTTCAAACTGACAAAACCTGGAACTTGGCACATTCTCACTTTGCTAATTCCTAAGTCTTCTGATTCTTACACAAAATGTGACACTTTCTCTTTTGTCAGGAAGGGTTCAATAATAGCAAAATCTCCTGTTACTCCATCTTGCCTTTATGGAACAGTATGTGCATAATGAAACTGTGGGAACAACATAGACAAACCAAGGGTCATGATTGGGATTTGATTATTTTTTCTCTTGCTTAAAGTTTGAGGTTTAGCTATAGTACTATTATTTTGTTTTATTAAAAAAATTTTTTTTCAATGTTTGTTTATTTTTGAGAGAAACAGAACGTGAGCAGGGGAAGGGGCAGAGAGGGAGACACAGAATCTGAAGCAGGCTCCAGGCTCTTAGCTGTCAGCACAGAGCCCGACGCAGGGCTCGAACTTACCAACCTTGAGGTCATGACCTGAGCCAAAGTCAGATGCTTGACTGACTGAGCCATCCAGGCGCCCCTGTAGTACTGTTATTTTAAAGTGGAGCAAGTGGCAGAGCATGGTGGTCAAGAGTAACAATTTAGGAGTCAGACTGATTGAGTTTAATCCTAGCTCTGCTGCTTACCACATGGGTAATCTTGGCAAGTTCCTTGAGCTTTCTGAGCCTTAGTTTCCTCATCTGTAAAAACAGAGACAAGTGTTAGTGTAAAGCACTTAGAATAGAGCCTGACACATAGTAAGTGCTGTATATCAGTGTCCAATAAAGTAAAAAAATAATGGACTGTCAACTGGTTATTAACCAAATGTGTTTATTGAATGTCAACATTATCTTCAGTGCTGCTTAATAAAAAGAAAAATGGGGCCTTTCCAGGAGATGAGAGAGATTTTCACATTAGTGTTGTTCACGAAGTGACACTCAATTTTCTTATATCAGAATAGTTCTCACTTACGTGTCCCAATATCATGTTATTAAATTATATATTTTTTTAATGTTTTATTTATTTCTAGGAGAGAGAGACAGCGTGAGCAGGGGAGGGTCAGAGAGAGAGGGAGTCACAGACTGAAACAGGCTCCAGGCTCTGAGCTGGCAGTCAGCACAGAGCCCGACGCGGGGCTCGAACCCACGAACCGCGAGATCATGACCTAAGCGAAAGTCGGACGCTTAACCGACTAAGCCACCCAGGCGCCCCATTAAATTATAAATTATAATTATGTTATTTTTAAACAACTATTTTCATGCAGCGGGATATTCCATGGATTCTGTGTCTTTTTTGGACTTTGTTTTAGCAGGAGGACTTTATACTGGTGGAAGACATAACAATGAAGTATCCTTTATCATAGTACACTTAACGCCTACTTATTGTCCAAGAGCAGACTTGTCCGTGGTCCATCATGTGGATGTTTGAGGACGTCAGAGAATCTTACTCAACTGTCAATAGACTTCTTGTGGTCCAACAAAATAGCAGTTTTCAAAAGTTTAAAGAAGAAATTTATATGTATTGAACCCTCAGCTACGTAACCGCAATTGTTAGGATTATGTTTCCACCATGATATAAGCTGATATTTGTGTAGATGTATAGAGTGATATTTTAACAGAGGTCTTGGGAAGAATTATTACCAGAATACTGGACACTTATAATAAATAGTCAATTAGAATCATGAATACATGTATTTTCAGAAATGGACTCATTTTCCTTCTTATTTTACTTCTTTACTTGATCCTTTAGGACCCTTTGGATCCCACACGATCAGTGATTGTGATCCGTTCCCTGGTGGCAGATGGTGTTGCAGAAAGAGCGGGGGCACTACTACCTGGAGACCGCCTGGTCTCAGTCAACGAGTACTGTTTGGAGAACGCCACACTTGCTGAAGCCGTGGACGTGTTGAAAGCTGTGCCACCAGGCATTGTACACCTTGGCATCTGTAAGCCTTTGGTGGTGAGTGCTCAATTTTGTTACTCTAGGAGGTGATAATAGTGTTAACAGTCGAGAACATGCATTTTGGAGACAGATGTGCCCACTTTTGAATCCCTTTTCCACTGCTTACTCTCTGTGTATCCTATGACAAATATCCTATGTCCTTGACTTAAAAAATCAGCAACATAATGTCTGCCTCGTAAGATTTCGGGGACTAAAGACTATGTTCATTAAGAGCTTAGCACATTATATAAATAGTAGCTGCTAACATTACTAGTCCTCCTACCACTTGTACTACTATTTTTAGCTTCATGCTTTTAGCACAGATCTGTAAGTTCTCATCACATTCCTTATGATGTAAATTAAAATAAGTCTGTGCTTTTTAACTTTCCCACGGGAATGATGTTGAGATGTCATGATGAGTTGAAATCCAGGTAACTATATCATTTTAACATCTATATGGCTTTGACATTTTAATACACTTTTCTGCCCTTCAATGTACCTCATAACCCCTAGGATCTAGAAGTCTGTGTGGTCAAATCATTTTTAAGTGCTCTTACTGTGTAATCTTTTTGGGTGGGGAGCACATGGAGCCCAACTTGGGGCTTGAACTCAGGACCCTAAGATCAAGACCTGAGTTGAGATTGAGAGTTGGATGCTTAACCAACTGAGTCACCCAGGTACCCCTTTCTGTTTAATCTTTTTTTTGTTTGTTTATTTTGAGAGAGAGACAGAGACAGTGTGTGAGCAGGGGAGGGGCAGAGAGAGAGGGAGACACAGAATCCAAAGCAGGCTCCAGGCTCAGCTGTCAGCACAGAGCTTGATGTAGGCTTGAACTTAGGAGCCGTGAGATCATGACATGAGCTGAAGTCGGACACTCGACCGACTGAGCCACCCAGGCGCCCCTCTTACTGTTTAATCTTATGTACTAGGTCAGATTAATGTTTATGACTGAGGGCCACATTACAGTTAGGGTGCTTTTGAGGTTTCCCAATGCAACAAGGTACTTGAAGATAATTTTCAAGCAGTAGGAAAATATTACTGAGTGCTTACCCTATGTCAGCCAGTATTTTAAACCTTTTACTTACATTAACTAATTTAATCCTCTTGGAGACCTTAAGAGGTAGCCCTCTTATTACCCTCATTACACATGAGCCTATGAAGACCCAGAGAACTGAGCATCTTATCCATAGTGATGTAACTGGAAAGGGACAGAGTAAGAATTCAGCAAGGTGTCCTCAGACCCTGCACAGTTAGCCACAGTGCTTTATATTTAACTTGTTGCTACCTTGGTTCGCACAGCTTGTCTGAAACAGATAGATGGTCTTAAGAGAGTGCTGGGACTGGATTTTAAGAAACCTGGACTCTGTTTCTAGCTTTCTTACGAGTTAGCCCAGTGGGGTTCTCAAACTCAAAGATATATAACATACTTAAGAATCAACTGGGAGATGGTTAAAATGCAGTTTTCCAGGTCCTACCCTCAGAGGTTCTCCTCTGGTCATGGTGATGGTTATTTAGGGATCTGCCTCTTTAGCGAATCACCCATGTAATTTGATGCCGAATTTTACACTTTGAGAAACATTGCACTAGGAATTTGATCATAGGTACACCACTCTTCTTCCCTGAGCCTTTTTTTTAATTTCTGAAAAGACTGAACAATACTTGAGAACTCCTAAAATCTTTAACTCTAAGAAATACATTGATAAACTACATGAGTGTGTTAAATTACTACGTGTGTCCAGTTATTAGGTAGATACAGATATGTTCATGTATAGATATATATAGATTCCTGTATTACACATAGTGTTTATGCATTGGGGAGCCTCAACATGGCCTTTGTGAATTCCCCATAAAGATGCCAGTATATTATACTATCAGACACTATAAATATTTAAAAATGGAGTATTGCACACAGCTAATCAAGTTCTTGACTTTGTATTGTATATTTGGTGTTTGACTGTTGCTGTAGCCAACGTGAGACAACAGGAGATGCCTGATTTTATTTCTGGACAAATTAAGTTGGGGGGAGGAACGTGATATTTTTATGGAGATCTCATCTTCTTGGTATTCTGATTGTGGGGGGAATTTCATCTAGATTTTCCCTGATGATTATTTGCCTAATTGTTTGGGCTGCCAGAAGAAATCACAAACTATTTATCTAAGTCCTAGAGGACTTGGACAGCTTGACTTCACTCTGACGCAGTTTAAGGAAGTGTCAGGTAGTGTAAAAAAGAGAGCCTGGTTACCAGCTTGGTGTGGATTCCTGTGCTGTTTCTGACATAGGTGGGGCTGCAGACTTTAGGATATCAGGGCCACATTCTGAGAGGGTTTTGGAATGTAGTAACTGTCAGGGAGACCTTTGCCTAGGCTTCTCCTGGTGAGTAGAAGGCTTCCAGGATACTTGGGAGCTGGAAGCCACAAAAGGGATGAAGAGAAAGGTCACTTTTAGGGTGGTAAAAAAGTCTTAGTGGAATGACCATTAATTCCTTCTTAATCATCTGGGGACTTTTAGCAAAACCGTTCACTCACGAGCTGTAAATAGTGGTGATGGATCTTCTGAGTCTCTCTCTCTCTCTCTCTCTCTCGTGTCCACTTGGTGGCCACTTACCTGATCACATGATGTTTACTGAGCTTTCACTCAGTCCTCTGCAGAAGTAGGGTAGAGAGGGTGAAGAAGTGGCCCAAAGTCAGCTTGCGGCAGAAAGACTATGAATATATAAAAGTTAAGAAACATGGCTTTTATTAAGTCATATATTATATAGATCTACATTATACAAATATGTTTATATATTTTTATGTCAACCATAAGTGGGGCTTATCTTCTCTTTTCATTTTTTTTTTTTAACATTTATTTATTTTTGAGGGAGAGAGACAGAGCACCACCAGGAGAGAGGCAAAGAGAGAGGGAGACACAGAATCTGAAGCGGGCTCCAGGCTCTGAGCTGTCAGCACAGAGCCCGATGTGGGGCTCAGACTCATAAGCCATGACATCATGACCTGAGCCAAAGTTGGACGCTTAACTGACTGAGACATCCAGGCACCCCCTGATACATTTCTTAATATTGAGGTCCTTTTTTAGTAAAGTGATGTTTTTTAATTTAAGAAAGGTTTTTTTTTTGTTTTTTTTTTTTTACTGCAAACATAATGTGTCTCTTTATTTAGTCGGATCTTCTTTTACAGTTTTCTCCTTAAATGTGCTATGCAGTGTTTTTTAAATTTAATCCTGAGATAATTTACTGGGTTCCTCCCCCCCCACCTTTGTGAATGATGTGTTGTTTTTTATTACATTTTTATTAAATTAGCTAATGCTGAAGTGGCGGTATTGATATGGACTTCGTAGTTTGATCCTCTATCTGACAACCTTGTGAAACTCTCGTTTCTGCTTCTGTTGAATTTTTTTATGTAAAAAAATTATTATTTTGGAGGCATCTGGGTGGCTTAGTTGATTGAGCGTCTGACTTTGGCTCAGGTCATGATCACACTGTTTATGAGTTAGAGCCCCACATCAGGCTCGCTGCTGTCAGCTCAGAGCCCACTTCCCTGACCCCCTCTCTCTGCCCCTCCTCCTCTCAGGCTCCTACTCTCAAAAATAAACATTAAATTTTTTTTTTCTTTTTTCTTCTCATGGTAAGTGTTACTCTTAATCCCCTTCATCTTAATCCCCTTCACCTATCCACTGCCCCTTCCACCCCCAGAATGTTTCTTGGTTTGTCCCTTTTTTCCTTCTTGGCTCATTTGTTTTGTTTCATAAATTCCATCTCACTCATACAAGTGAGAACATATGGTGTCTTTCTCTGGCTGACTTATTTTGCTTAGTATTATACTCTCTAGCTCTGCACATGTTGTTGCAAATGGCAAGATTTAATTCTTTTTTTTAATGGCTGAGTAATATTCCATTGTCCATATACACCACATCTTTATCCATTCATCTATCGATGGACACTTGGGCTGCTTCCATAATTTGGCTATTGTAAATAATGCTGCAATAAACATAAGAGTGCATATGTCTTTTCAAATTAGTGTTTTTGTATTCTTTGAGTAAATACCAAGTAGTGGAATTACTAGATCATATGATATTTCTCTTTTTAACTTTTTGAGGAACTTGCATACTGTTTTCTACAGTGACTGCACCAGTCTGCATTCCTACCAACAATGAACAAGGGTTCTTTTTTCTCTACATCCTTGCCAACCTTGTCGTTTCTTGTGTTTTTGATTGTAGCCATTCTGACAGGTGTGAGGTGATACCTCTTTGTAGTTTTGATATGCGTATCTCTGGTGAGGCATGATGTTGAGCATCATTTCATATGTCTATTGGCCAACTGGAAGTCATCTTTGTAGAAATGACATGTTCATGCCCATTTTGTAATTGGATTATTTGATTTTTGGGTGTTGAGTTATATCAGTTCTTTATATATTTTGGATACTAACCCTTTATCAGATATGTCATTTGCAAATATCTTCTCCCATTCTGTACTTGGCTTTCGTTTTGTTCATTGTATCTTTTGCTGTGCAGAAACTTTATTTTGATGTAGTCTCAATGGTTTATTTTTGCTTTTATTTCCCTTTCCTTAGGAGACCTATCTAGAAAAATATTGCTATGACTGAGATATCACAGGCAGAGAAATTACTGCCTGTACCCTCTTCAAGGATTTTTATGGTTTCAGGTCTCATGTTTAGGACTTTAATCCATTTTCAGTTTGTTTTTGTGTATAATGAAAGAAAGTGGTCCACTTTCATTCTTTTGCATGTAGTTTGAGGAATACTTAAAAGAAAAAAAAAGTTTGAGAAGCTTTGACCTGAATATGGCTTTCTGTTTAATTATTAAAGTTTGTTCTAATGAAACAATTTGCATAAAGTTTATTGTGTCCTTGCATTTAATGGAAAGATGAGAATTAATCTGAATAGAGCTCAAAATTAAGGTATTTTCTTGATTATAAAAATGTTCCTTTAGTTGCTAGAGGCAGGGAGTTGTGGGCAAGATGGGCGAAGGTGGCTAAAAGGTACAAACTTCCAGTTATAAATAAGTCTTGTGGATGTAACGTACAGCATAGTAACTATAGTTAACAATACCATATTGTATATTTGAAAGTTGGGGGTGCCTGGGTGGCTCAGTTGGTTGATTGTCCGACTTTGGCTCAGGTCATGATCTCACGACTTGTGGGTTTGAGCCCCGCGTCAGGCTCTGTGCTAACAGCCAGCTCAGAGCCTGGAGCCTGTTTTGGATGCTGTGTCTCTCTCTCTCTGACCCTCCCTTGCTCACGCTGTCTCTCTCTCTCTCAGAAATACATTAAAAAAATTTTAAAAAAAGAAAATTGCAGATATAACCAAACTTACTGTGATAATCATTTTGCAATATACACATATATCAAATTATATTGTACACCTAGTTAATACAGTGTTTAATGTTATATGTCAGTTATATGTCAATAAAAAATAGCTTCACAGTTGACAAAAACATGTCTTCAGTTGTGCTAAAAAAATAAAAAATACTGCTTCTATTTTTCAGGAAGATGATAAAGAGGGAGAAAATCATTATATTTTACATTCAAACAGAAATGAAGACAAGATTGAACTTTCAGAAACAATTCATGATATAAATTCATCTTTAATACTCGAAGCACCCCAGGTATTTAGTAAATTGATTTCCTATTTGAATGGTTTACTGTGAGCTAACATTGATACAAAGAAAAAGACAAAAGCTTGTTCTCACTCTCTAGGCTAAAGAGATTCAAATTAAAAAATCCTCCTCTCTTTAGTTTTTTAAAAGTGAAATGGTTTTCCTCTTGTATGACATAGGCTTCATAAATGACATAGGCCAGATATAAGTCATTTTCGAAGCACAAACATATTTTATATCCCTAATATATTCTTACATTTTTGAGGGTAGAACGTATGTTTGAAAATAGGCATGCATTTAAAATGCTGTAGAAAACTGACCTATACCAAAGGACTTCTTATTCAGTACTTTCTCAACAAAAGTTATTTAGTTAAAATTGTCTTTATGCTTTAATTTTAGGAAGTATATTTTGAAGCTTTTCCTTTTTTAAGTCTTAAAATGAATTGCATTTATTTTGTTCTTTGCAGGTAGAGGATGGTGTATGGTTTTGCTTTACTTGATAGCAACCATCTGGTGATATTTTTTGCATAAGTTATTGTCAGTGCCTCAAGCTGATGTTTATTTCTATACTGTACATTGTGGGTTTTTTTAGTGTCAACATTTTTTTGTTAAAATTTTATAAGTATATGACCTCTTTTTTTTTTTTAATGTTTTTTATTTATTTCTAGGAGAGAGAGAGAGAGACAGCGTGAGCAGGGGAGGGTCAGAGAGAGAGGGAGTCACAGACTGAAACAGGCTCCAGGCTCTGAGCTGGCAGTCAGCACAGAGCCCGACGCGGGGCTCGAACCCACGAACCGCGAGATCATGACCCAAGCGAAAGTCGGACGCTTAACCGACTAAGCCACCCAGGCGCCCGTGACCTCTTTAAATATACACTGTAAACACACCTTTAAAAAAATTAGGTTGCTGTATTTGATACACTGTGATAATTTAAAGGTGGGAAATAGTAGATTCATTTAATGAATTTATATTTGGTAATATTTAATGAATAGGTCCCCACATAGGAAATGCCACTGATCTCTCAGGAGGAATTGGGCCTCACTGTGCTCAACACTCTGAGGACCCACCAGGGTTAGGTTAGAGGCTCAGCTAATCCATACATTTCTCAGGCGTTACCCAGGAACTCAACAAAGTTTCTGCACATATATGGCTATTTAGTTCCAGTTGTATGTACTTGATCTTCTAATTAGTAAAATATAAATTGATTAAGAAGCATTCTATATTCAATCCTTTTTGCCATGTAATTTCAGTACAGAGGAAAAAATTATAAGTCTGTTACAGGGGCATATTATAAAATAGTCGTATTCAAAGTAGTTGAGATATACTTCCCATATCTTTAGTTTATAGAGAATGCTTTTTGATAATTTCAATAGCCATAATTTATTTTGAATTTAGTTAAGCTTGAAAATCCTGACTTTTAAGTTTTTGCTTTCTTAGGGAATAGTGTGATATGTATCTATATTTATGTACTACTTTTCTATGAGACACATGAGTTAAATATTCAGTGTAGCAGTTTAACAAGATTCTTATTTGTGATTAAGAATTTTCAGGTGGTTAATGTATAACAAACCTTTTAGAATAGTCATTCACCTTGCCAGTGGCAGATTTCTGCCTCTTACTGTTTGTCCCTTTCCTGCTTTGAGGGTTGTATCGGAGTGAGCATTTATTTCTCTTCCTCTGTGATGGAGAGCAGTTCAAGTTAACTGTGGCTGGGGATGGAATGTGGTCACTGCAGTTCTGTCGGGGGCTCACCTTCCAGTTAGTATGTAGAGTGCAGCTATAAAGCAGGGGCAGTTCAAATTATTTTTGCAACTTCTGTTTACAGGGATTTAGAGATGAACCCTATTATAAAGAGGAACTTGTAGATGAGCCGTTCCTAGATTTGGGAAAGGCTTTCCAGTCCCAACAAAGAGAGACAGACAACAGCCAGGAGGCCTGGGAGATGCGTGAATTTCTGACTCCTAGATTGCCGGAGATGGGGGAAGAAAGAGAGATGCTTGTGGATGAAGAGTATGAGCTATATCAAAATCGCTTTCAGTCCATGGACTTGTATTCCTCATCGCACCTGCAAGAGGCTGCTCCTGTTCCCTCTGTGAAGGAACTTCATTTTGGCACACAGTGGTTACATGACAGTGAACCGCCTGAGCTTCAGGAGGCAAGATCTGTGATGAGTATCTATTCCCAGGAAACACAGCAGTATGGCTATAGCACTGAAAACATGGTAAGGGTTGAGAACAGATCATCCACATCTTCCCCCATTCTGATCCCCTCCCTCCCTAGCCTATTGCTAAGTCCTGTAAATTTTTAAAAAAAGTAATGGAAAATGTAATTTTTGTAATTAATCATCTTTTCAGGATGCATCATACTGTGTTCTGCTGTAAGTATATACTGATCTTTGCTGGATCACATAACCTCTAGTGAGAGTCAATAAGCTGCAGTTACCTTCTATAGTGGTTTATAGTGGGGTTTTTTGCCTTGCTTTTTTAGTGATATATTTCTCCAGATTATCCATTTCAAAGAAGAGTTCTTTGCCCATTTGTGATTCTTTATCCACTCAGAGATATACAGCTTTGTATTTCTCACATAGTGTATTTGTATTTATCAGTGAAGATAAAAGCAAAATTAAAGATCCATTGTTTATGTCTTAGTTACCCACACTGTTCTGTGTTATGTATCATACTAAATAGAAGATCACTGAACTCTAAAAACATATCTTTACATTTGTGATATTACCTGTTTTCAGCCTGGCTGGGAAGCAGTATATTTCAAAAGGTTTGCCCTTGCTATTAGATCACCAATAAATTTTATTTTTATAAAAGTAGAGTTAACTCGTCACCACTTAGAATCTTTCAGTGAGGACATTTTTTAATGTTTTGGTTTTGTTTGTTCATTTCATGCTCCAGATTAACTTCCAGACAAATGAAAAGAAACTTATTATATAGGGATATTTTTTTAAAGCCACTTAGCAATATGTTTAGGTACAGTGCACTGTTGCCCTCATAGAGGTCAGCAGCTTTCCTGCAGGGCTAGTGGGGGGAGGGTAGTGTGCTTTTCTTTGCTCTATCACAGGGCCCACAGGACTCCTTTCTTTGCTCTCTCCTCCCTCAAACCTATCCTCCTTTCTCCCCTTTTGCAAATGCTATGGGTTCTTCTGGTATTCAAGCTGCTATACAAGCTGTATTTGTGGAACCCTCGAGGATTACCCATGATGAAGGACTCTGGGTAGCCTACCAGAGAGCAGATGTTTTGGGGTTATGTGAATAATGCCTGGATATGGGAAGAGGTAACAAAAAATCACCTGGTGTGTTGTCCTTCACATTGGTGCTTTTCTTTCCTCGCTAGTCCTATTCCTGTATCACTAAGTATTTGAACTCAAACAAAATATTCAGTTATGTGGAACAAATTCTAATCACAGTGTTCATAAATACTCACTTGTTGTGGCTTTATTCTATAAAAGGAAAATCTTCTTTTCCCCCAAATATAAGGCAACCTGAAATAGAGGCACATTTTAATATATGAATTTTTAGGGTTCTAGATGAAATAGTCAAAGGTACATTCACAAGATTTACTTCCTAAATTTAAACATTCACATTTTAAACACTGTCAAATGTTAATTTTTTTGCCTATTGTTACTATCTTAACTTTCATTTAAGTTGTTTGAGATACAGTAATTTTCTTAATGTTTATTTTATATATTTTGAGAGAGTGCAGGTGGGGGAGGGGCAGAGAGCATGGGAGAGAGAGAATCCCAAGCAGGATCCCTCTCACCATCTGTCATATCATGACCTGTGCTGGCTGAAGTCAAGAGGATGCTTAACAGACTGAGCCACCCAGGTACCCCAAGATACAGTAATTTTTGAATCCTTACTATCAGTCAAAATTTTGTCCTGATCTCAAGTACTCATTTGCAAAGCAGTAGGCTTTAAAAGAATTCCATTCAGAAGTGCATAGTGATGGTCTTCACAATACAACCACTTATTCTGTTGTTTGTTAAATAAATTACTGTCTATTTGAAACGCTGGTTTGTAAGAACATTCAGTGCTCACAATTTGAAAGACACGCTTCCTAATTACTGAATCTCTGTTAAATTTCCTGGCTTCCTTTTTATTTTCCATTTCTGATTCTGTGAAGTGACCTCTGTAAATTCCCTAGAGTGGCATTGATTAAAATTGTTTCAGACCTAATGTGTTTAGTCTGCACAAAATTTTATTGTCTTTAAATAATTATATGTTCTTGTTTGGGGCATTAACTCTTTTTCTCCCTTTTTGAACTCCACAGTGAAGACAGTGTAGGGAGAGAATATTTTTTTCCCTTTAACCTCATTGGTTCTGTGGCTGGGCCATGGAAATTAAGCTGATGAAAGATTAACAAAAGAAAGACAATTTATTAACAAGTGTGGCATGCACACAAGCAGGAGAAACTCAGTGATGAATAACTCAAAGGAGTGCTTAGAACTCGGGCTTACCTAGCATCTTAACAAAGAACAATACTTTTCTAGAGAAGAAACAAGACAAAGGAAAAGGGGTTTAGGTTTTAGGGTCAGAGCTGTAAAAGGGTAAATATAAGGAGGAAATTGATGGAAGATAAGGGCTGTTTTGTTATGTATTTTTCTCTTGGTGCCATCTTTGAGCTAAGCAGAATCCTAGAGTCCTCTCTGGTGATTAAGAATCAGGGGAAGATAGCTTTTCTGTGTCTGCTGTTTCTCATTTGTCTTCCTCTCAAAATAATCCTTATGCCAAAGTGGCATGTTTTTGACAGAATGTTCTGATTCTCTGTAACAGTTAGACACATAAGATCTGGGTGGGCTTGAATCTTTATTTACCCTCCTCTCAGAAATATACTCCTGTGATGAAAATTTACTATCTAATATCACAATCCTTGGGTAGATTGTTAACACATTTGAATATAAATAAGTAATTCTCAATATTCTTTTATTTAGAGAGTGCCCTCCAGAAGGGTAGAGTGACATTATCATTTCTGTTTTTATTGTAATATTCATTTTGGGGTAGTTATATTTGTGGAGTGCAAATAGTACCCAGCTACTTAAGTTTACCTTTCTCTATCACTCATTTAGTCCATTTTAATTGAAGGGGTGAAACCAAGATTTATAGATCTATTTTTTTACTTTTAGTTGTAGTAAAATACACATTATAGTAGTCCCCGTGGTTTCCCTTTCACAGTCCAGTTACCTGTGGTCACCTGAGGTCTGGAAACCGAGGACCCTCCTTCCAACATTCTCAAAAGGTCACTAGTAGCCCAACATATGCCTGCATCAGTCACCTCACTATTGATCACGGGCATTTTATCATTTCACATCATCATCATTAAAAGAAGGGTAACTACAGTGCAATAAAATATTTTGAGAGAGAAAGAGACCACATTTATATAACTCTTATTGGAATATATTCTATTTCATTATTAATCTCTTACTGTGCTTAATTTATAAATTAAACTTTCATAATAGGTATGTATGCATAGGAAAAAACAGTATATGCAGGGTATAGTACTATCCTGGGTTTCAGGCATCCACTGGGGGTCTTGGAATGTATCCACCAGATAAGGAGAGGATACTGAATATAAAATTTACTGTTAAATCATTCTAGGTTTACAGTTCCAGTAGCATTAAGTACACTTGCATTATTGCACAATCATTATCACCATCCATCCCCAGAACATTTTCAACTTCCCAGATTGAAAGTCTGTACCCATTAAACAGTAACTGCCCATTCTTCCCTTCTCTCATCCCCTGGAAACCAACTATAGTTCTACTTTGTTTGTCTAAGGATTTGACTCGGTATCTCATGTAAGTGGAACCATACAATAGCTGTCCTTTTGTGTGAGCCTTATTTCATTTAGCATAATGCCTTCCAGGTTCATCCACATTATGTGTTGGAATTTTGTCCCTTTGTAAGGCTGAATAGCATTCCATTGTATGTGTACACCACAATTTGTTTACCCCTTCATCAGTTGATGAACATCTGGGCTGTTTCTACCTAAGGCTATTGTGAATAATACTACTGCAAACACTGGTATACAGTATCTGTTCAAATCACTATTTTAAGTTTGTTCTGGTATTTACCGAGATGCAAAATTGCTAGATCATATGGTAATCTTATGTGTAATTTTTTGAGGACCCACCATCCTGTTTTCCACAGTACCTGCACCATTTTACATTCCCACTAGCAATGCACAAATCTTTCAGTTTTGCCACATGCCTGCCAAAACTTTTTTTTATATATATATAGGTGTAAAGTAGTATCTTATTGTGGTTTTGATTTGTAATTTTCTAATGATCAAGAAAAGTTGAGCAACTTTTCATGTGCTCATTGGCCATCTGCTGAAGAAATGTCCTTTTTTTTTTTTTGCCCCATTTTAAAGATCTGACTTTGGGGACACCTGGGTGGCATTGGTTAGGTGTCTGGCTTCAGGTCACGATCTCATGGTCCATGGGTTTGAGCACTGTGTTGGGCTCCGCACTGACAGCTCAGAGCCTGGAGCCTGCTTTGGATTTCTTTTCTCCCTCTCTCTCTGCCGCTCCCCTGCTCATACTCTGTCTCTCTCTCAAAAATAAGTTAAATAAATAAATAAATAAATAAACAAATAAAATAAAATTTTTAAAAATAAAAGATCTGACTCTTGCCTGAGGATTATTTACCTAAGACTAATTGTATGTTTTTATTTTCTTCTCTATTTAAACTATTTTTTCCAAAGATTTAACGCTCTTATATCGAAATTCAGATTCAGATGTCGATTTTCTTATTCCTCATATAGCTGTCATACACTTTTTAAAATAAGTCCCAAAATTGCTGTAAAATATAAGTACTCAGTGCTTATCATTTCTTCTTTATTCCCTTCTCTAAGAAATTCTTCTTGTTTTATTCTAGGCAACTGGTTAGTTGTATCTCCTTTCTCACCCCAGTTTATTTTATTTATTTATTTTTTTTTACAAATAGTTTATTGTCAAGTTGGTTTCCATATAACACCCAGTGCTCATCCCCACAAGTGCCCCCCTCCATGCCCATCCCCCCTGCCCCCCCTTCCATCAATCCTCAGTTTTTGTCAGGATTCAAGAGTCTCTCATGGTTTGCCTCTCTCCCTTTCCCCCACCATTTACCCCCTTCTTCTCCCCCATGTTCCTCCTTTAAGTTCCTCCTAATCCTCCTATACTGCAAACATATGATATTTGTCCTTCTCTGCCTGACTTATTTCGCTCAGCATAACACCTTCAAGGTCCATCCATGTTGCTACACAAGGCCAGATTTCATTCTTTCTCATTGCCATGTAGCATTCCATCGTATAGATAAACCACATCTTCTTGATCCATTCGTCCGTTGATGGACACTTAGGCTCTTTCCATGTTTTGGCTATTGTTGAGAGTGCTGCTATGAACATTGGGGTACATGTGCTCCTATGCATCAGCATTTCTTTTTTTTTTTTTTTAATTATTTATTTCTAGGAGAGAGAGCATGAGCAGGGGACAGTCAGAGAGAGAGGGAGATACAGACTCTGAAATAGGCTCCAGGCTCTGAGCTGGCAGTCAGCACAGAGCCCGATGTGGGGCTTGAACCCACGAACCGCGAGATCATGACCTAAGCGAAAGTTGGACGCTTAACCGACTAAGCCACCCAGGCGCCCCTGCATCAGCATTTCTATATCCCTTGGGTAAATTCCTAGCAGTGCTATTCCTGGGTCATAGGTCTCACCCCAATTTAATATTAGAGTTGAATATCCCCATTAGATATCTGATACAGTTCTATACTTAGCTATATTCATAATCTGTATGGAAAAAGCTAGCAGTATTTGGTTCATCAGTTTATGAGGGGTCTTTCTCTTACCATTGAGGTCTGCCCAATATAACTTAATGAAAAAAAAATGGGGACCCTGTAAAAGATGTTATTCACCTTTTTGTTTTGAAAAACCTCAATTTCCAACAACAGAGAAGGACATAGGTGTTATTCATCTTAAATGAGTTGAGGTATATTTGTATGGTGGCCCTAATGTTGTCATTTAATCTTATGCTTACAAAAGTTTTTAAAATCTCATAATAAAATATTTCAGTGAAGATTGTATGTTCTGGAAGATTGTTACTTTGGGAAACCATAGAAGACATGTATCAAAGGAAGACCAGTGGAAAATGCTAAAATGACTATGCTTATCTGCAGGCTTTAGGTTTGAGTAACTGGTGTTTGCTAGGCAGATAAAAGTGTCAGGAAAAGGTAAAGCAAGAGCTCAGAGCTGTGAAAATTCGTCAGTGTTGCTATCTAATTTTGCTCTAACTTGTTCTATGAGTTTGTATGGATCAGCCATTGACCTTGCTTGACTGGAGAGATCTTTATTCTTATACCTTTGTGATTGCTTACTTAAGTCCACTCATTAATGTTTATAAAGCAAATTTTTTGTTAAAAAAAAATCCAGTGTTTGTAAAAAAAAAAAAAAAAAAAAGAAAGAAAGAAAAAAACCCATTTTATTAGTCATACTCTTGCAGAGCTTAAGTTAGCAACATTCGTAACTGCTGACCACAGTATAAACAGCTACTTGAGAAGGCTTGTTTGCAGGGCCAGTTTTCCGCAGTCATTATTATCTGGTTTGAACAATTTTATAATGTTCCTCATTTTATTACAAAGTCCTAATGCATTTCTGTCTTTCTTCCTCTCAAGGTGAAAGAAAATTTTGGCATTGATTCCCTACCCTCTGTGCCCTCATCTGAAGGAAGCAGTCAACAAGGCAGATTTGATGATCTGGAAAATCTTAATTCATTAACAAAAAGCAGTCTGGATTTGGGTTTGTGATTTTTTTCTCGTAAACACAAATTACATTATTTTGCAATCTTTCAGCTTTGTTTTTATAGATGATAACTCTTACTGTCCTGTTTTCATTCATTATGCAAATTTAAATGTTTATTAATCTGCTTCAGAATATCTGGAAGAATAAACGTGACTCATATTTCAACATAGAACTTAAGATTCTCTCTTCTGAAACGGCTGTATTTTCAATGCCTGATTTTGCTTTTTATGAGCAGTATGGATTAAAACTAAAACTGATAACTTACGTGCTAAGTTTGGAATAAGTCTCTACTAATATATATTAAAACCTCTGATGCTATTAAGTGATACTGTTAGCTCATTGAATGGGGTTGTTAAATATTAATAAAGAGAGCCATATTTTAAACATTTATGAAACATTTTTATAGCCATATATTATAGTCAATTTTGGTGCATTAATAACTTAGTTTCCATTAAAGAATCCTAAAAGTATAGTGCCTCTCCCTGCCTACCCCCAATATTGACTCTTACATAATTTTGAAAACTTGACTATGAAAAATAATTTTTCTTCATCCAACACTGAAATATCAAAGGCTGTTATATTATTGAGATCCCTAGGTGAGACTGTTAAGTTCTTTCACCGCACTGGGATTTATGGAGCCATTGTTCAGGATTTATGCTGTCCTTCATGTGTTATGACTCTGCTTATAGGAAAAGTCTTTCTCTGGGCAATTCTCATGTTGTATGGTAATACATTGGAAGGGTTGGAGTGCATTATAGAAAGCCATGTAATGGTTTTTATGAATTCAGCATTCTGTTGAGTAAAATCCAAAGAATGGAATGATTAACAGTAAAAATTCAAGTCATCTCTGAGATGATAACTGCTGTCAGCTCCGAGTCAAAACAGAGCAAGGCTAGTTAATTTTGAATATCTAAGATTTGATGAGTTTATCCCATTTTTCATGACAATTGTGACTAGGATAAAAATGGGACTTCCCTCTCCGCCCAAAAGTGTCCCATTATTCTGTTTTTTAAAAATATACCACATTTCCGTAGTCTTCTAAGTACTTAGAGAAGATTTACTGCACAAATGAATAAATAATTAATAGACCATATCTGTTTGATTGCCATGGATACTTTATAGCAGTGTCATTACTATTTTGGACCAGATAATTCTTTATGGCAGAGAGCTGACCTGTGCTTGGTAGAATGTTTAGCAGTTTCCCTGCCTTCTAACCCTGATGCTAGGAGTACTCACATTCCCAGTCATGATCAAAATCCAATGTCTCCAGACACTGCCAAATGTCCCCTGGGGGGCAGAGTTGCCCCTGGTTGAGAATCACTCACTGCTCTACGCTGTCAGGATTGAAAACATAGACTGGCTATGTGGGGTGGGTGTTTGTGGAGAAGAGCAGCAGAATTGGGAAGAAGAGGTAGTCCTTCTTGAGCTCTGCTCTCTGTTTTCTCTAAGTGACTCCAGAGTTACTTCTTCTGACTTCTGCCTGCTCTAGAAGTTTCCTAGGGCTGCTGTAGCAAATTGTTGCAAACTTGGTGTCTTAAAACAACAGATACTAATTCTCTCACTGTTCTCAAGGCCTGAAGTCCTAAATTAAGGCGTTGTGCTCCCTCTGAAGGCCCTAGGGAATAATCTGGTCTTTGTCTCTTCCACTTTCTGGTGGCTCCAGCCTTCTTTGGCTTATGGGTGCATCACTGTGACATGTGCCTCTGTCTTCACATGGCAGTCTTCTCTTTTACTGGTGTCTTCTTTGTCTCTGACAGGGACATCTGTCATTGGATTTAGGGCCCACTTGGGTAATCCAGATGGTCTCATCTCATGATACTCAACTGAAATGTATCTGCAAAGACCTTTTCTCCAAGTAAGGTCACGTTGACAGGTCCTGTGGCTTGGATATATCTTTTAGAGAGGTCCCCATTATGTTCACTATTCTGCCTTAGTCTAATACTTTACAAGGACCTGGGAATTTATTTTTTTTAGCCATTATAGCTTTGGGAATGAAGTTAAGCTTGTATATCTTAGGTCTGTCCTCCCTAGAAATACATTTGTAACCACATGCTTTTAGGAAAATTTTTTGAAAGCCTCTAGAATGCTATGTGGCAGACATGACTATTTGGATTAATGCTAACTGTGGGTAGACTGAGAAATTATTAATAGAGTTGATACAGATTTCAGCAGCATACATATTGAATTCCTTCTAGTCAGAGTTTGATTTTGCTCTTGAGACCCGTTGCAGCAAACAGCTGACTCTTTCAGTCCCACGTCCCTCTGTATGAAGCAGGTACCCTGCTGTGTCGCCAAGCAATTCCTCAGGCTTCTCCAAGCCTCTCTGTTTCCTCAATTATAAACTGAAAGATTTGGGCTAAGTGTTCTCTCTAAGCCCTCTTTCAAATCTGTAACTCTTTGAACACTTTATTAGTAATGGACAGTTTTAGATTTATCTCTGAACTACTAAATTTCTTTTTCTGAGCAAGTAATTTAAAAATTATTTTTGAGAACCTTATGTGTAAAGAGCTATTTTTGACCCTATATGTAATCCAACATTATGTAGCCTCTAAGAGCCTTTCTCTGCTGTGAAATTAAACCTATAAATAAGCATAATTAATAAGATAAAGCATAAAAGATAAATTCCAAATCAGTAACACATTCAGTATTACAAGATTTCAGAAGGTTTTGGACAGAGGGTAGTTCTGTTTCCTACTCTTTGACTGCCCCTGTCTGGAGGGTGCCCACGGGGAGCCCTGGATGATTCTCTGTCATTGGGTCAGGCGTGCATAGTCATTTGCATGCCTAGCTTTTACTAGAAATTGAGCTTCTGGAGGGCAAGGCTTGTATCTGATTTTTGTTACCATAGTAGGTCCTCAAGAAATGTTTGTTGAATGAGAGCATGAAGTGCTGCTCATGTGTAGTTATTCAACAGCATTGCAACCCCCGGCCCTCCCTCCTCCTGGCAGCGGCAAAGTTATACAATAACTCACCCTCCCCTTTCCTTGGATTCTCGTTCTCTTTATTTTGTGGACCATTCTGTTCTTGCTCTTTACCAAGTATAAGCCTTTTGGCAATCTCCCCCATTCCTCTCCTATAAACATTAACCTCCATTTGTCCAGGAAAAAAATTTTTGTAACTTCTTTGTTTTTCTAACCTTTGTGCTCCTGTTATGGCCCTTACCTAACAACTGCATAGGCCCTCGAGGACTTGATTTGTTTTATGGGCTCTAGAAACTGCGGTGTACTTGGCAAACAGCTCTGTAAAGTCTGAGTGTGTCACGCACTGTGACAGATGAGAAATGTGTGCCTGAGCACCATCACCAAGGGTCCATGGAGGAGGAGTGGGTCAAAGGGCACGGGCAGCCTTTCTGTGGAACAAGTAATGAAAAGTTTTAAACAAACTGCAGCAACCTATGAAACCCAATGCCATAATTTAACAGGCTGCTTTTACCAGTGTGGCTGGATGGGAAACAGCTCAGCAAATAAAACCAGTTCCCTCTTCTTAACAATGGTTTTTGGCCATTCGGCCAGAATCTAGTCCCACCCCTGGTCCCTCCTCAGAGGAGAGGAGGCAGACATAGGCAAAGCTAGAACTCTTTGGTGATGCGATGGATTTGAGTGCTTTGCAGGAATGGAGGCCCCAGGGAATAGGAGTGAAGGGTGCATAGGGATGGAGGACTGAGCATGAGACTTTCTTTAACACAACTGAGCGTTACAGTGATGTTCACTCCTTCTTCAGATTCTGTTGTGTCACCAACTGATTAGATCCCGATTTCAAAGTTTCTAGACCAGTTAAAAAGGTGATATATGCACTTGTTGAATGACTATATTGTACACCTGAACTGTATATAACACTGTGTATTAACTACACTGGAATTAAAATTAAAACATTTTTTAATGTACGGGGTTTTTTTTTTTTGGTTATGTGTTATTCTGTGGAATTATTTTTTCTTGTGATGAGGACTTCTAAGATGTGTTCTCTTAAGCAACTTTAAAATATGCACTATAATATTTTTTTAGTGCTTACTTTTGAGAGAGAGAGAGAAGGAGACAGAATGAAAAGCAGGCTCTAGTCTCTGTTCAAGTCCAGCATGGGACTTGAAATTACAAAATGTGAGATCATGACCTGAACTTAAGTCCGATAGTCAACTGACTGAGCCACCCAGGTGCCCCTTATTTTTTTTAATTTATTTTTATTAAGTGAAAGGTAGGAGTGCCTGCAGTTGAGACAGCTGAGGTTGATAAGGGAAAATGTATAGTGAGATTAGAATACCATCACTAAGGGGATTCTTTAGATAAAATATTTATATTGCTAAAATGTCATCTTTTCAGTGAGGCCATGTATAAATGCAACTCTCTTCCACTGAGGAGTTTCTGTCCTCCTTCCTTGCTTCATTTTTCACCATCTGGCATATTAAACATTTTACTTATTTAATTTAATATAAGTAAGATTTCTACCTAGAAGAGGCCTATTTGTTGAACGAATGAAGGCTAAATGAAAGCATCTTGTGTTCACTGTCATCTGGGTTTGCTGTTTAGGCATGATGATTCCAGATGATGCCCAAGGTCCTGGCTTGCTTGTTGAACTTCCTGCTGTGGCTCAAAGAAGGGAGCAAGAAGATTTGCCTTTGTATCAACTACCCAGGACTCGAGTTGTTTCCAAGACCTCAGCATACACAGGGACACTGTCTTCTAGATATACCACAGATGCATGGTATGATACCATTGATCTTTGTTTTTGCATTATGAAGGAGTTTGGTTGCTTTTTTTTTTTTTGCTCTTATAAAAAATGCAGTATAGTAGACAATTACTATGAGAATCTCACATACTTAAAATTGAACCATATATAAAATTTTGTACTCTTACAGTATGGAAAATGCATTACATAGAATATTTGCTTAGAGAATAAGAGATTAAGAGTTTAACAACATAACCAAGGCATGCAAATTAAGGAGGGAGTGGATTTAAGAGAGAATTTTTTGGAGTTGGTGACTGATAACGTGTGTTAGGATGAGAGGACCTAGTTGAGGACGACTTGTGTCTCTGGACTAAGACGATAAATGGATTGTGGTGCCATTAATTCTTTAACATAAGTCTATAGGAGCAAAGGAAGCAAACTCTGTGTCTAATGATAGATGAATGGATAAAGACAAAGTGGTATATATACAATGGAATATTAGTCATAAAAAAAAATGAAGAACTGTGTTCTCAACAACATGGATGGACCTAGAGTGCATTATGCTAAATGGGGTAGGTCAGACAGTGAAATAGAAGTATCCTACGATTTCACTTATATGTGGAATCTAAAAAAACAAAGGAAATGAACAGAAACTGTCTCATAAACATCAAGAACAAACTGGTAGTTGCTGGAGCAGAGGGGAGTAGAGGTGGATGGGTGAAATAGGTGAAGGGGATTAAGAGTCACAGATTTCCAGCTATAAAATAAATAAGTCACAGAGACAAGTACAGCATAAAGAATATAGTTAATAATATTTTAATAATTTTTATGGTGACAGATGGTAGCTACACTTACGGTGAGCATTTCACCATGTATAGAACTGTTGAATCACTGTGTTACACACCTGAAACCAATAGAACATTGTATATTATATTTCAGTTAAAAAAACAGTTTATAGGAGCATGAACAGGTTGGAAGGGGAAACGAATTCAGTGTGGGACAAGATGAGGGTTCCAGTATCCATAGGAAAACAAAGTGAAGTGGAGTCAATTAGGTGCGTGATTCTGGGGACTCATGTTGGGATCTATACTGGTGTAGGTAATTGGGAGCAAGATCAAGTGCAGGAGAAACTGCTGGATTTGAATAGTCATCCAGGGTAAGCTCAAATACTCAGAAGAGCATGGGACCAAAATTGGAGTCTTACAGAGCAGCAAACATCACAAGGATGAATGGAGGCAGAAAATCGTGGCGTGAACAAAATGTTGGAGGAAATTGATGAATCTAGAGATTGTCATAGAAACCAGGCAAGAGAACATTTTACCATAGGTTTTCACAGACCTTTATTACGGTCTACAGAGAGGTCAGGGCAGATAAAATGGAAAAGTTTACATGGGGTTTGGCCACACAGATGCTCTTGGTAAGCATAGAATAATTTAAGTAAAGTAGAAATTAGAGAGTAGTGGGTTGAGAATTGAACAGATCTGAAACTGGGCATAGTACGTCCAGTAAGACTACTGTTTTCAAAATCCAGGTCATGAAAAGAGACAGACAGAATGTGTGTTATCTATATAGAGGGTATTTTTGGACTGAGGTAAAGAAGGGGTTATGCATACTTAATATATATATTATTATATATATGTATATATAAACATATTGTGTGTGTTTCTGGTAAAGATCCAGCAGAGAAATATGTAGGTGCTGGAAAGGTAGTGATTAAACACAGTCCCTGGAGAAAGCAGAGAGAGAGAAAGACATTGCATACCTAGAGAGATTAACCTTTGATAGTTAAACTACAGAGACAGGTGCCAGCCATGAAATCAAAATACAAATGCAAGTGCTGTTTGTATCCTGTGAGTAGGAATCCAAAGAGATTCTAATTTTTTATATGTTTTTGTCAGTTAGGTAAAGATTATTTTAAGAGTGATAAGGTGGTAGTAATGTGAACATTAAAAGTAGAGGTGTCACTTTTGAAACATGGGTAGGAGAGTAATGGCTTAATGATGGAAAGCAGTTTAGAAAAATCTTGCTCCCCACCCCACACCTTCCAACTTCCCAGGGTGAGAGAGTGAGCATCATTCACTTGAATGTGGTATCTGGCAGAGAACCAGAAGCTATTGAGAGAACATTTAGTGAAGAGGTCAGAGTGTGGAGTAGTTTCTAGACAATTCAAGGAGATTCTGTGGAGCGTGATGGGTAGTTTGGCCTGAGGACAGGGAGGAGGGAAAGGGGCCTCGAGTGGTAGGTATGAGAATGGAAGCAAGGTCTGAAGGAGAAACCAGAGCAGTGGAGAAGGAAGGAGTTGGAGGTGTTGGCCAAGCCTAACAGAGATGAGAGATAGGGTGGATTTATTGGCCTTTGAGTTTTTATTAAAACTTTAGTCCAAGAATGATTTTGTGTTGATGTATGAAATGTCTTACAATGATATCACTTCTCTGTTCAGCAGCCTGTGACTTTTGCCTGTAGTTTTATTTATTTAATTTATTTTTCAGATTTTATTTCCAAGTAATCTCTGCACGCAATGTGGGGCTTGAACTCACAACCACAAGATGAAGAGTCACGTGCTCCAGCTACTGAGCCAGGCAGGCATCCCTCTGACTATAGTGTTAGATAGAAACTTCATATCACAAAAAGTTGGTCTCTGTGCTTCAGCAAACTCCTTTCTGAGTGTAAAGGAAAAGACTAAGGGGCTCCTGGCTGGCTCAGTTGGTAGAGCAGGCGACTCTTGGTCTCAGGGTTTTGAGTTTGAGCTCCATATTGGGTATGGAGCCTACTTAAAATAAAATTAAAAATTAAGAAAAACAAAAAAAGGAAATGAAAGGCTTAGATAGGCTCAGCTACTTGGAGGAATCTGATGGCTTTTCATTCAGCAGAACTGGACCGGTGTTCAGAGGGGAGGTGCTGACAGGTCTGTTCTTGTGTCCCGGTGTGAGCAGTGTAACCAGGAGGGATGGCTGTAGATGGAAGTACTGGAAAGCTTAGAAATATAATTTTATGACTTTTTAAAAAATTTATTTTTAACTTTTTTAATGTTTATTTTTGAGAGAGAGCGGGGGTGGGTGTGACTGGGAAAAGAGCAGAAAGAGAGCGAGACACAGAATCTGAAGCAGACTCCAGGCTCTGTGTTGACAGCCCCAATGTGGGGCTCCAACCCACGAACCACGAGATCATGACCTGAGCCGAAATCAGTTGCTTAACTGATTGAGCCACCCAGATGCCCCTGATATTTTTTTAAATTAAAAATAAATTTTTTAAAAGTAATCTCTACACCCAACATGGGGCTCAGACTCCAACCCTGAAATCAAGAGTTACATGCTCCACTGACTCAACCACCCAGGTGTCCCTAATTTTGACTACTTATATATGATCAGATTACTTTTCAAATGAGACATCTTTATTTTGTTAAATTTCTCTTCTGTTTGGTGTGTTAGTAATTAAATCTCTCAAAGAATTCAGAAATGAGGCTGCATTTTTAAAGGTATAGTAGTGTAACTGTAGAATTGGAAAATACCTAAACAAATTTCCCAAACCACTCCCTTTCTTATGCAGAAGTCAAAATGGAACATCCATTCTGTCTTACCCAGTTCTTGCACTTTCAGAAAGGGAAGATAACACTTTACTTCTACCTCATTCGTTTCTTTTTCTCCAAAAGTAACTTCAACAAGCTGATTTCGTATGTGGGCATAGGCATTCAGGAGTTTCAGCCTAACTGTTGAGAGATCAGTCTTGCATTTGTAGGTTGTTTCATAGACTCGCTGCTATAGATTCAGGATATAGTGAAATTTCAGCGGGTAATAGAAGAGTCCCTGTAAGTCATGTTTCCCCCCTTTTATTCTTTAAAGGTATGTCCCATGGAGTTAGGTTCATAAGTGACTATTTATTGCCACTCAGGAGCTTTTCTAAGTAATGCATAGATTCTTTTGGAAGATAGTCTTTTAGATACGGGTATCCTGAAGTGCTAACTGATATTTTAGAGTTTCTACTTTGCATTGATTTTGGTGTAGAACCCAGCTGAGTTATTTAGTGTACAGTGTGCTTCTGCACCCCACTGACTTCTCTGGATTTTTTTGGTGTTTGTTTTAATATTAAATTTAAAGGGGACCTGTGGTGCAATGGATAATGTGTCTGACTACAGATCAGAATATTTATTCAATTTATTTAAACTCAAACAAAACAGGGGCACCTTGGTGGCTCAGTCAATTTAAGTGTCCGACTTTGGCTCAGGTCATGGTCTTGTGGTTCCTGGGTTGGAGCCCCGCCGTTGGCCTCTGTGCTCTGCTGACACCTCAGAGCCTGGGGCCTGCTTTGGAGTCTGTCTATCTGTCTGTCTGTCTGTCTGTCTCTCTCTCTCTCTCTCTCCCTCCCTGTGCTGCTCACTCTCTGTTTCTCTCTCTCTCTTTCAAAAATAAATAACATTAAAAAAATAATAAACTAAAACAGAAACAGTTCGCCCATTTCTCCTATCTCTCACCCCCTGCCTCTTGCAGCAGTTGTTCTCTGTGTCTGAGCTTGTGTTTTTGTTGTTTTATTTTATTTTTAATGTTTATTTATTTTGAGAGAGACAGAAAGCGTACATGAGCATGGGAGAGATGTAGAGAGAGTGAGAGAGAATCCCAAACAGTCTCTGCGCTGTCAGTGGGGCTTGATCCCACAAACTGTGAGATTATTACCTGAGCTGAAATCAGGAGCTGGACACTTAACTGGCTGAGCTTCCCAGGCACCCCTGTTGTCTTAGATTCCACATATAAGAGAGGTCATATGGTATTTATCTTTGATTGATTTCACTTAGCATAACACCCTCAAGTTCCATCCATGTTGTCTCAAATGACGAGTTTTCATTACTTTGATGGCTGTACAATATTCCATTTAAAATTTATACCATGATTTCTTTATTTATCTATCAGTGGACACTTAGACTGTTTCTGTATCTTGGCTATCATAAATAATGCTGCACTGAACGTGGAAATGCATGTATCTTTCGTATTAATATGTTCTTTCTTTTCAGCTAAATACTCAGAAGTGAAATTGATGGATCATAT